CGGTATACCTGAGGTACTTTTGACCATGATGAAGTTTTGTTGTTTATCGAAACGTGTTGTATCCTGTCACTTAGAAAACTATCTACCCATTTAAGTACTGAATGTTCTGTGCCGTATGCTCTCATTTTGTTCATTAGTCATTTACGTGGAACATTGTCGAATGCTTTCATGTAGTCCATGAAGATAACATCGATAGATTTACCATTATCAAGTGCTTCTAGCCATTTGTCTAGGACAGTTAATAATTGAAGAAATGTCGAACTGCCTGATATAAATCCATATTGACGATCTGTAAAGAACTTCTTGTTTTTCTTATGTTTGACAATGTGTTCACGTTCCAATGTTTCCATTATTCTGTTTTAGACTTTGACTTAATGTATTTCCAAATTGCTTTTGGACTTTTCTTAGCATTTGTTGAAAGTTTCTTTTCATGTTCCCTTTTCAGTTTATTTGTCATCGTCTTTACTTGATTGCGTACTTTATTGTAGTCCAATCTTATACTTGGATCTTTAGTGGCTATTGATTTCCTACAGAGAAAGTTTTTTTTCTTAATTTTCTCTAATGTTTTTTTGTCTATATAAAATTCCCTCTTTCTTTTAGTTGAAGTTTTTTATTTTCTTGACAGAGATATAACGCTTTTCCATCTCTAATAGTTTCTCATGAAATTTAGCCCAATTTTTATCTTTATGGTCACTTTGGTTCAGTAGCACTTCCCAATTTGTCTCCGATATTTCTTTATTAAAGTCTGTATAGTTACCTCTATCGTGGTATATTTTTGTTCTATTGTCAATTTTTAATTTTGTGCAACAATTATATTGAAATTGTATCACTCAGTGATCACTTTTCCCCAGTGGACTCAGGTACTCAATATCGCTTACCATGTTTTCTTCATTTGTGGATATTATGTCTAATATATGTGGTGTGTCTGATCCCCTCCATCTAGTTGGTTTTGTTACATGTCGAAACAAATAATTATCTTGAACGCATCAAGTGTGACTCTATGTTATCACACTTACAGCTATGTGTTTCCCAGTCAATATTAGGGTAGTTTATATCTCCCATTATTAGTATATGTGAAAAATTCTTTCTTGTTGACTCAGTGATTAATTTTAATAGATTTAAATTATTGTTGCTGAGTGCAGGTTTTGACGGTGACCTATATAGTAGCCCCAGTAAGAGAGCGTCATTGTTATTTAGCGCAATTTTCACAAACATATTTTCTTTATATATTTTTTCTATATTTATTTCTTTCACACCTAGTGATTTGTGTACATATACATGTAGGATCATAACTCTTGCTTTGTCACTGTCAATGTTAATTGAGAAAAGATCAAATTCTATTAAATCGAAATTAAACTCTCAGTTTATATGCACTTATATCTATTGCTATCAGCAAGAAGCAGGATGTTTTTTGCTTTTATTTTGTTGGTTTAAAGGGGGGTTGAAAAAACGTGGTTATCTTCCATTATACCCCACATCCCACTCAAACATGAAAGTAAATAAATTCAACTAAAATTTGTGAAAATTACACAAAAACAAATAGAATAGAAAAGAAATTCGATTTACAACCTTTTAAATGCTATCCCAAAATACAAACGGAGAAGTATGGTGAATGCAAAAAATACTGTAAATGTACTTGTAAAATTAAAAAAAAATACTGCTGTACAACGATATTCCTATTGTACATTTTTTTTAAAAGTCCTAGTGAGCAATTGTGGTAAGGGCCATATCCACTTAACAACTAATCTTGGTGAATATTGGACTAATGTGCAAAACACTAACATAAAATTCTATTTATCAAGTTTAATGTGCTTGTCTATTTAAAAAAAATATGAAAAGAATAGAGGCTTCAATTAATGTTCAATGCAAAAAAAAAACAAACCTTCCAGCGAAAAGAATGGAATTCATTTTATATGACCTAGTATGAAATAAGATTGATTGATTGATTGGTGTTTAACGCCACTTTCAACACTATTGTGCTATTTCGTGGCGGTCAGTTTTTATTGGTGGAGGAAGACGGAGTGCCCGGAGAGAACCACCGACCTTCGGTAGGAAAGCTAACAATCCTAGTCAATTAAGATTGGAGTCGATTGCACCTGCCCCGTGCGGGATTCGAACTCACAACCTCAGTGCTGACTAGCTAGTGATTCTACTTAGACCACTCGGCCACCGATGCCCCCGTATGAAATAAGAAAGTTAGAAGTTGTCAAGTAAAGTTTGAATTGTCAGCATTTTACTGTGGGATATTTATGATGAGAAATGCTTTAATTTCTCTTCCGAAAATTACTTCTTTCTGAATTGTTAAACCCTAACAATAAATTTTATTTTACATACTGCCATTATCAAAGTTTAATAAATAGTTACAACCATCATGTAGTGAATGGTTTCGTGGGATGATTGAAGCCCTCAAAACACCTACTTGATATATAAGTAACTTTATAAGCGCCATAGGAATGTCTTATAATGAAAATTTCACAAAGAAGCAAAAACAAACAATGTCATTCATTTCTCCGACTTTTTATTACGTTTTCCTTCTTAATCCGTTGTATTTGTACTGATTGAAACTTTAGTCGTGGATAACATGTTTTATTTATTTGTTGTTATTGGCTTTGATCTAGCTTTCATTAACTTCGAGTTCTCTGTGTCTTTTGTCTTTATGTTAGTTGTTTTTTTTTTCTCTTTGTGCCAATCTGATTAGTCAATCAATTTCCAACTGATTTTTACATTTTGTTTTTATGTTGTGCTGTAACACACCTGTCCAAGATAAGAGTGGTTCAGAGGTCACAAAAATGTTTAACCCCGCCATATTCAATATGTGCCACGAAAATAAAAAATATTGGTAAGAAAATAGTGATTTTGGCCTAGTTGCCAATTTGACCTCTCTATTTCTGTATAAGGGACATGAATTCAAGATGAATTACCTGTCACCATAACGATAACCTACTTAGTGAACCGAGAAATCTGCGTAAAAAACCCTGATTTGGTATGTATTTTTAAAATTCACCTCATATTTACAATGTGATGTGACCACAAGTATATGGTAAACTACCTTGGACCTAAAACCTGAAACGAGATGGTAAACAGACCGGAAAATATTTTACCTGCCGTACGATAGGGCATAAAACAGGAAGTTGCCACGAAGTCAAGGAAAAAATAACCCACTCGTTATATGACATTGATAGAATAAGTTCCTTGTTCAGTGGGCTTTATAAAATTGAAATTATCATTTAACAGTAAATGACTACATGTACAAAAAATGTACCTGGCACGATATACAAAGCATCAATATAAAATTTAAGACGAAATGTCATATTCCATTATACAGAAGCTGAGACATATCCAACGAAAAATTCTAGGCGTAGTGGTCAGATAAACATTTAAGGAACCATCAAACAGAAGAAGAAAAAAAACTCATACAGAAGCTAAGTAATATGTAACGAAAATTACGGATTGACGAATGGGTGGTCGAGGTGGATGTAATATATCAGATATATAATTAAAAAATAAAAACAGGTTGCACATTATTAGTGTAACAAAGTATGAACAAATCTTTCGAGTAATGAGAATAAAAACAAATTTGTGAATATAATGCACAATAATAGATCCAACCTATCGACTGCCTGGTCAGTGATCTATTACATGAATAAAATGTGATGCTAGTTAAAGGCCAATGAGACGGCAACATAACATATACAACAGTAACATGCAAGAGGATTTCCTATTTCGTATTATTATAAGTCGACTTTGAAGAGAGAAAAAAAACAATTCAAATCTAAATGTTTACTAGGAGAATCTTCTTTAAATATATTATGGATAAATAAACCATGATTGGCAACTGTTGGCAGATATTTTCATTGTATCTGACGTTCTGTTTTAAAACTTTGTTTTTGGGAGACAGTAGGGGTATTTTCGTCCGTATACTTTGTTTATGCTATTTTATTAAAAAAAACTGCTCTACAATTGTGTATCATAAACTTGCATCATTTAAATCCATAAGAAACGTTTACATAATGATACAATGGTTATAAAGTGAATTTAGTATACATGCTAGTGTTTTTTTAACAAAACTTTATGGTGAAGTATTTTTTTATTCAAAATATCATCAAATGTCCCTATATAGTGTCAGTGTTATAGATGACCTGGATCTTTTCCATATGTCAAGCGCCGAAACCATCCATTCTATAATGCACTTTTATCGTAAGTAAAAAATTGAAAACAACACGTTTAATAATTTCATGCGTCCGAAGCGCTTTTCTGGATTTACCTTCATCAGGAACGCTCAAAGCCAAACATTTGAAATCCGAGGGATGTATAAGTACCGAAACAGTTGAAGAGCTATATGACAAAAATACATAAAACAAATAGCCAAATTCATCTAACTTAAGGTCAAATATGCCTGAGGGAGTTAAAACCTTAGTTTCTTTATAATTTCAAAATTTATAAACGGACAATTTTAGAAAGGTTTGTTATAAATCATGCCAGTTCCGAAGTACGGACTACTGAGCTGATGATACCCTCGGGGACTGATAGTCCACCAGCAGAGGTATCGACCCAGTGATGTAAAGAATTGAAAACAACACGTTTAATAATTTCATGCGTCCGAAGCGCTTTTCTGGATTTACCTTCATCAGGAACGCTCAAAGCCAAACATCTTTCAACTAATCTATCATGGTTGTCACATTACAGAAACTTCTCATCCAAAGCCCACTCTGAACTTTTTTTTTAATTTGAGCCTTTGATTATTTGGGTTTTTTTTTTACTTTTAGTTTTTTTTTTTAATCTTATCTTTTTCTTTATGATAACCGTCCCCTGATTTTTTTCAATTCACTGGTCTAATTATCAAAATGTCGTCCTTAAAACAAGCTTATTTGTAAACTTGAAAAAAATATAGTTAATCGTCTTTAATGGAAAAAATTGCTTGATGGAAATTGATTGTCGAAATTCAGATACATACAGATTCATTTGAAATGTTGCCGATAGTATGAAAAAAGTAAACTCACCTCTCTAGAGATATGGCAACCAATGTTAAAACACTTGCAAACACGAATATTGGCAATGTGTAAGACAAAAAAGCACACAGATTGTCACTGTTAAAGATGCGCCATTGACATGGTGAGGTATACTCCAACAATTTGAGCGGCATATCGATGGACGCCACCAAAAAGTCAGAAATTGCTAAATTAACAATGTAATAATTTGTTACAGTGTGCATGTGCGCATTTCTCCAAACTGTCCATATTACAAGAATATTGCCAAAGATTGCCATCATCATAATTAATACATAAACTACAATAAGTACACTGTAAACAGAAGTTATCTGTGTAAAATCGGCATGCGGATAGCCCATAATAGGACAACCATATTCATCATATTCATCTACAGTTCCATTAAATTCCATAGAATTATTTTTGAAGTGACTATGATTTCCCAACATATTAACTGTCCCGTTTACATTGACGGCTTTATGATGCTGTCCAGATATTATTTCCATTAGTTTTGATCACATATATTAAAAAAGTTCAGACTTATACTGTATGTTGAACCAAACAAAAGTAGAATTCCTTCTGTGAAACATTGTTGGTGGAATCATTTTGATAGGAATATTTAACATGAGAACACCCTTTCTCTCAAAGAAAAGGTTTCATAGATGAAGTACCTGAAATAAATGAGAACTTATTAGCACGTTGCAGTTAATAAAACAAAGAAAACTGTGATAATTGGACAATCATGATGCTTTTCTAAGAAATGTTAATATTGATTTAAATAGTTACCGTCAAACCTCACTGCTGCCCATAGAAAACTATCAGCAAATCAGACTGTCGCTTTCCTATGTAATTGACAAATACACAAATCGTGCCAAACAATCATTAACTAATGCAACCGGATAACCAGAAAATAGTTCCTTAATAAAAATAAAATCCGTTTAATCTAAACTTGATTGTATGTCATTTTTCCCTACCAAGTTTACATCCGAAATACCATTTCTACAAACGGTAATTTGTGATCCATCTTCATTTGGAACGAGACAAGTTTCTTATTGATGTACCTTCAATTTGTTTGACGTCTTTATTTTCAATACTAATAAAAATTATGCAAATTTCTTATATTATTTGCAATGCAACCGAAAATGAATTATTATTGCAGCTTTGAGTCTTAAGTTGAATCGTATGTAGATATACATTTCCGGGAATGATTGAGTGTTGTACAAATGTATGAATAGACTTCCAATAATTTACCAAGTTATCTTAATCTCACAGTGGATAACTATAGACTTGATTGCGTTTTTTGTAACTTCCATTTGACAATTAATCACAGTAAAAATAATAAGAAAAAAGAAATAAAGACATTATATTGAATGATTTTCCAGAGAATGTCTTTTTTATATTCTTTTAATTTTGAAAAGTGATATAAACCCCCACACAATTTGAACACCGATCTTTTCACTGTATGTTATCTTTAGAATTATGTACAACGAGTTAACCAAGTTGAGCATGGTGTCCACACTGCTTATCCTTCTAAAGTTTTTATCCACTTATTTTGGAAATGATTTTTTTTTTGTGGTTTAATTTCATGCTCATTACAGTAATGTTATTTTCGAGTTGACCCAAGTAATGATCACGTAACAATATGTTATTCTACCAAAATGAGTGGTAGTTTATTTGACGTTGAGGCCAATTTTGTGCTATCACAATTCGACTTAAGCAACTTCTTAAACATGAAGAGAAAAGGGGAAATCGTTCGTATAGTTCGATTTAGACGATCTGAAGCAAACCCACGAGAAGTTTGTACATGGATTCATTTTATGGTTGCAGTTACTCTTGCAGTCAGTAACTTCGTAGACACTTTACTTAATTTCAGCATTTTGGGACATAGTTAGCTTTTTTATAAATATAATTTTAATGAACACTTTGCATATAATTATATTTATAAAAACAAGGTAATTAGGTCACTAGGTGTACGATAAAGTGCCTATGAACTCACTGAATGCACGAGTGAATCTATTCATAAAAAGTGTCCGTGTAACACCCGTTGTACGACTTTGCACCCAGCAAAGCTATAGAAAAACAGTACATTAACGGGTGTTATACGAACACTTTTTAGATGATACACGGACACTTTTTAGTTGTTACACGGAGGGAGCAAACGTACGATTTTTATTATTTTTTAAGGGGGAATGGGGGAATGAAATGGCACATCCTGCATTTTTTCAATAAAAAAAAGGATCAAGCCTGTTTATTTTAAATTTATTTTAACCCCCCCCCCCCCCTTTCCGTTTTTCCCCAAATGTTAGCTTGCTTACCTCTGAAATGTTTTTCATACATTACTTACTTGCGAAGTTGCATTTTAAAAAGTCTCAAATGTGTACGACATTCATCTTTTACTTGACAGGGTTCTTTTTTATAAAATTATAAGATTCTTGAATTTCTTGAGAAAAAAAAAACTCGGCCGAAGGGAAGTGAAAAAAAAAAATTGTTTAAACTGTAACTTACATTAACTGGTATATGGCCATTTAAGTTTCTAATCTGTTTAATTTTGCTACCTCTTCTAAATGCAAAATATACTACTTCTTTCTTGAAACGTCGTACAAGTCAGATACAAAACAAAGGTAACAAAAAACCGGCCTGAAACAAACTGCCGTATTGTTCTTCTGCACTTGTAGTCAGGTCAAGGACTGACTACTCGTGCAGAAAAACTATCCGGCAACGGTTGTTACCGGCCTGTTTCTTTGTTACCTTTGTATTGTATCTAATACTTATTGTACTGTTTTTCTATAGCTCTGTTAGGGGCAAAGTCGTACAAGGTCTAAATAGATAGTTGTCCCATTGGTACTTGTAATCATACCGGTACTTGTAATTATACCTCATCTTTTCATTTTTATAAGACTATGGAACTAAAAAATATTCGTGTGAAAGAATGCTGTTCAATTTGATTTGGAGTTCGGTTGTAATAAGAATTTTTAAATTGGGCAACTGATTTTGACGTTTGCTTGATTGCTGTTTGCTTAATTTTCAAGCAATTACTTTTAATTTATAATTAATTTACTGAATTAATATAAAACGTTCCAAGAATTTGTTATCATTGTTGAACTGGTATTTCATTTTTTGTGTCTTACTATATTTTTTTTTACCTCCGATAGCAAAAATTGACTGCCATATCTACAAAAGGGACAAGAACTATGTATCCGTACCTTTTCTCTTCAACCACTCATTGGATTTCAAAGAAACAGTTATATAAGTACATGTATCAGTAACTATGTTCACATTGTACAACTTTGATTTTTTTAATCTGATTGTTTTCCCTAGAGAATCCACGAAATTGGAATTATATATACATATGAGGAAGTGGAGGTAAATATTTTTTAACTGAGGTCACAGCTTGTCTAGTTTGTGATGTACTCAGTGTGTTTTACTGATTACATTTATAGGGAACCCTTAGAGCCCCAAAGATGGGCAAGACAAATAACCATTAAGGTTTAGTCCTAACCATTCCAGGTAAACATTGCCTGTATGAGTTGCAACTTTCATTTGTTGTTGTTAAATTTACACATTTTTGCACTATGAATTAATAATAACGTTTACAAATTCACTTGATTAGTACTATCGAAAACATAAACTACGTGGCGAATGCAACCCTGAGGACACACAGCCCATAAGCAGTGATATCGACAAAGTGTCACAATTTCAATTATATCATTAACCTTCATCAGGAATACCTTACGTTTGGTGATGAGGGTGGTTTTTAACGACCTTGACTACCCATGAGGGTCAAACTTATATAAAAAAAGAGGGTCTAAAAGAATTGTAAAAACTTTGCAAAAGTCAACTTGCCATGATGGAGCTAAACCTTTTTTCTGTTAGATTTACAAAATAAATGAAAAATAATGCTGAAAAGTTGATCTCTGGGAAAATATTCCGAGAACTTGCACATTCACCAGTAGTATTTTCAACACAGTTGTAACCACTCAGCGTAAAGAGTATTTTATATTTTGCCGCCTTCGATGCAATATTAGAGAAAACCCGTAACCAGTTTCGCTCAGAGTCAAACTTGGGACGGCAAAAGGGTAATAAATTTATGGAAAGCAATGCATACAAGTAAAAGGAACCCAAAGGGATCTAGGTAAACTTTTCCAGAAGGTATACTTAGTGCGAGTAATTAAATGAGCTTTTCTCAGATTCTTAATTGAGGTCAGTGGCCATGGAATAAATAAATGGAGAGCTACAATGCAACCATTTGCCACCCCTCATATGACTGCGGACTGAGTTATATCCTCGTGGATAAACAGTCAATAGGCGGTTATATCGACCCTGTTCTATTTCATTTAAGTCAAATTCAGAGTTTAAATTACATAAATTACGTAAAACTTTTACTAAATTCTTTCATAGATACAAAGATTTGATTAGTAAATTTGGCTGTACCTGTAGAAAACTGATTAAAAACGGTATTTCACATCCTAAATTTTACGGTAATATTGTACTTAAAGCGCAGAAATCACTTTGTGATCTGTGTGAACTCATCGAACCTTTAACAAACTTATTAGTAAAGGTTATCTTACCAATGTTGTAATTAGATCTTTGAATATAGTTTACATTGGCACTAATATCGATTTTGTCATCAGCAAATCAAAACATAACTAAATTTGTATTCTTTTCAAATGGGATGTATAAAGACACACCTACGTTCATTTTGATCTATAAAGAGGTTAACTATCCTACTGCCTGTCGATACATTTATTTTTGGCATTGCACAAGTCATGTCTTCTTTGATTGTACATGACGTTAAAATACTAAATCCCTGGGATGTGCTTTTGTTGATTTTAGTCTCTGATGCATGATTTTTTATTATTAATTGTTTTTGGCTTTTAACTAGCTGTCAGTAACTGCCAGTACTCTCAAATCGTACTTTCTTGTTTATTTGACCTGTTGATACTAATTGTAATGCTTTTTTGTTATTTAATGTTATTCAGGGTTATATCTGGTCTATAAACCAGCTTTGATAAGTGTTTGGTTTTACTATAAATTTTCACTTCTTCGTACTATGAACATCAAAATTATTTATTTTGTAAAACTATTTCCTTTCTCCATTTGAACTGTACACGTATACCTAACAACAAAATTATTTTCATTTACCTGTGTTTAAAGTAATTGCAAATGGCTGATATTTTTGTTCAAGCATATTGTTTTTCTTAAATTGTTTAACATTTCACAGCGGTATAGCATGTTACTTTAATTATTCTTCCCTTAGTTTATTTATTTTGTATTTACATTGTATCATAGATCAAATTTATTTGTTCAGTGTATGTTGGCTGGTGTTAATATGTCTTTTGATTGAGTTAAACCATTTCAATTGATATTTTATAGTGTGTCTTTCTATGTTGTGATGTTACACTATTGTTTCAGA